GAGAACGGTCATCGTGGCGACGAGGAACGTGAAGAACTTCATGGTTTCGCTGGTGTGACGTTGGCTTGACCGATAGGTTGGTACTCGACTTGCGGTATTGGAGACAAATCCAGTTGTGACCACAACGGCGTTGTGGGTTCGGCTCCGCGGCAAGCTGGTCCTTTCTAAAGGTAGTGGTCTACGTGCGTCATGACATTTCCGCAGCACAGTCGCCGATTCTGAAACGACAAAATGAATGATTGAAGAGGCAGTGATTGAACCACGTTGACACAGTTGATGTTTGATACAAGCGTATACTTACGAAGAGGATGGTAAAAATATTCCCAACCAAATATTTACAAAACAAAACTTGGAGAAAGTAACCCATAAATTAACCACGTTTCCGAAATGAAGGGAAAAAAAAATCAATTTGCAAGCACTTTCAACCTGTGTACAAGCGATGCGTAACGTTCAAAGCGCCAACGAGGTCTGCGACGTAGCACTAGCAGGAACTACACGTACAAGTCCAGTCGAATCTTAGTAGTCGTCGCCACGAGACACAACCTCCTTGCACGTCGGACGCAGGATGATCGTGTGTTCGTACTGCGCCGTGTAGCTGCCCTTAACGTCCACAAGCGGCGGGTAGGCCGTAACGATGCCGGTGTCCACCAGGTTCTTCAGAGCCATGAGGTACTTCTCCTGTTTAGCACCCTTCGGATTAATAGTAGCCGAGCCACCGTCCTCACGCTCGATCCATCGACGGCACCACGGCAGCGTGCCGAAAGTACGCGTGATGTGGCCCAACAATTTTTTTGCGCGAGGCAGACGCAGCGGCACGTGAGGCGCGTCAAACGCCTTGGCGTAGTGCGAGCACTCTCCGTCCTCCACCACATACCCACGACCAGTTGTATTGAACGTCTCAATGGCAAAGATCTCCCCTTCCTCCATCTTGGTCTGGTCCTCGGTCTTGACGATAGGAACGCTCTTACCACCGTGGATCTGGTACGGACCAATGGAGTGGCCGTTGAGGTTACGGATACACTTGACCGGGTACGTTTTGCCGTCGATTGTGACCTCGAACGACTCCATCACTTCTTGAATAGCACCACCGATCTCACCAAGACGAGCGTCGATACCGGCGTTAGCGATACCCGCCTCAGTCGCAGCCTTGGCAGCCTCCAGTAGGGGATCAAATTGCGCATCGAACGCCACAGTCCACGCACTGTCGATGATGCGTCCGTTGATCTGCGTGCCAAAGTCCACCTTCATAACGTCTCCGTAGGATAGCACCGTGTCGTCACCAGAGTTCGGCGTGTAGTGAGCCGCCACATGGTTCAGCGAGCAGCCCGTGGGGAAGCCAATGCCGCGCTGCAATAATTAAGTTAGTAAAATAAATATAATAATAATAATAAATAAACTTACAGCAAAGCCGGCCTCGACTACGAGCTCTCGGTTCTTGTTCTCGAGCTGCGTGCACATGTCGACGAGCTTGATGCCAGGCTTCATGAGACTCTGTGCGAACTTGCGCACGTGGCGATGCACTTCAGCTGCGTGTCGTACGGTCTCGTACAGGTCCTCCTGGGCACGTTCCAGTGCGCGCTTCTCCTCGCTCGTGGTGCGGAACGTGTTAAAGTCGCCTGGGTGGTCCTGGATCTCGCCAACGGGGTAGTGACCATCCGGGAAGAGCTTCTCGATGGGGATCGTAGGCGGCTCTGTCTGACCCACAGCCACGTAGCTGTCTGTGAAGCCCTGGACGCCGCGGAACGGCGGGAGCTTGGAGCCAGAGGAAGTCGAGCTCTTGCTTTTCTTCTTTTTGTTCTTCTTCTTTTTCTTCTTGCTTTTGTTCTCGGTGGACACCATCTCTCCGCTGTGCTCAGCATCCGCCATCGTGACGTCGTCCGCGACCTCTGGGGTCGCAGCCTCCTGCTCTTCCAGCTTCGCCATGGGTATAATTACGCTCTTGCTGTCGACGGACACTTGGATTATGATGGATGAGCTGGAAAATACAGACTCAGAATCTGAGTCGCAATGGGTGGTTATGGTTTGAAGAGCGTAACCATGGGTAACCGTTTACACCTGCACTTAAAAGCAACACTAAATTGTGTGCTTCACACAAAGCTGAAAGCTGAACTTTCTTCTACAATCCTTTTAAAGCTCAAAAGTGGTTCATTTATTACAGTTTTTAATATACATAAGTTCCCTTAGCTTCTGCTACGTCGCGAAGATGTCGATTTGGGGGAAATTCCGTCACTGCGTGCAAGTCTTTTCTCTAGTTGGCGCTTGTCACGGACAGCTTGTGCGTATTTGTACTTCAGATCTTCGATCTCCTCGAAGAAGTCTTCGTCGAACGCCGCCAATTCATTGGTTAGCTTCGTGTTTTCGTCCTCCAGCTCGAGCACTTGGGTTTCTAGCTCTTTGATGCGTTCTTCCTGTTCATGTTGCATTTGTGTCTCATCTTCGACATTGGCGTCACGTTCAAGTTGCAGTTCCAACTGAAGCACTCGATGTCGCAACTCTGCCAGCTCCTTCTCCGACTGCAGCAATAGTCGCTCCTTCTCCTTGAGTTGAAGCTCTAATGCAGTACTCTCGCTCTTTAATTTAGAAGACGATGTCTTGGCACGGAGTTTCTGCTGAAGTTTCAGCTTGTCCTTCTTCAACTCGCCGTTCTCAAGCTGCAATTTCTCCAGCTGAGCGTCCAGTCGTTCTCGAACTTCTTTCTGCTCCTTCAGCTTGCGTCGCATAGCCTCCACTCGCTCAGGAGATATCGACACCTGCTTCTCCGCTGCCTTTTTCAGCTTCTCGTTCTCCGCACGCAGTTTCTCGATCACTTTCTTCATGTTCTCAATCACTTCCTCGAGCTCGAGTCGTTCCTGAGTCGCCCATGAAGATCCACGACCAACACCTTTACCGCGACGCTGCTTCGACGTATCATCGCTACCATGCAGACCATCACCATGCTGGCTATTCCGCTGCAGCCGCTTGTATTCAAGCCGGAAGCTTTCGACCTCGAGCTCCAATTCGAGTATCTTGGTGTCTTTCGTCACCATATCCTGCTCTTTACTACGCAGCTCTTCACCTACAGCCAGGAGTTCTTCTCTCACTTCCTGCTCCACGAGATAACGCTGTTCTTCTCGTTGCAGTCTCGACTGAGGCTCATGCTCACTTGTGTCTGCATCGTCAGTCGAGGGTATACCATGCTGAACGAGTCGACGGCGTAGACGCTGTAACTGCGCTTCGTACTTCTCCATTTGGGCGGTAAACGAGTCCTCCCATTCCTTCCGCTTCAACGCCAAAGTTTCCTGGAGGAAGGTATTCTGGCGCTCCAGTTCTTCCAACTGCTGCTTCACTGATGAGGAGACTACAGGTGCAGCGGTTGAATGAGCCAGACGCTCCTTCTCATTCTTTGCTTGTTGCGACTGCAAATCGGCCTCCAACTTCGCTATTCGTTCGTTACAACGTTCCAGTTCGCTGTCTTTGCTGCTCCCATCCGCCTGCTTCTCTTTGAGCCGAAGCATCAAGATATCCACACGACGTTGAAGCTTCCGCTCACTCTCAAGCTGCTCGCGTTTCGCCTTCGCATCAACTTCCGTCGGGACCGCTGGTGCGTGAGTCGAAGCCTCACGCAGCGCGAGGTTCTGAGCCTGCAGGATCTTAATCTTCTTCTCCAACTCTTCTACTGCCCTCGCTTCACTGACCACTTTTTCCTTCAGCGACCGCTTCAGACGCTCGACTTCACCCTTCAATATCTGCATTTCCACCTCTGAACTGCTGTCTTTCTCCTCCTTCTCCTCACTTTCAGCTTTCTTCTTTCGCCTCGTTTGTTGATCGTGCTTTTTCTTGAGTAATGCTAGCTTCTCTTGCAGAATCTGCACTTGACTCTGCAACCGCGTCTTCTCCTCTCTCCATTCGTCCTCTTCTTCCTCGCGACGTTCCTTCTCTTTCCGCTTCCTAGCACTCAGGTCCTGATTCATCGCGTGTTGCACCTTCACGAGCTCAATAGCATGACGATCTTCAGCCTTCAGAAACTCTTCCTTCAGCTTAATGATTGCGTCTCGTAGCGCCTTGAGCTTTTCCTCCTTCTTCACTAAATCACGCTTAATAAACGCAACCTGGTGCTCCAACTTTTGGCTGTGCTTCTCACACTCCACCACTTTCTCCTTCAGCAGCACGATTTCCTCCAATGCCTCCCCAGCACGAGCTTCAGCGAGGTCTCTCTCGTTTCTCAGGACTTCGCGCTCCATCTGCAACTCGCGGATCGACTGTTTTGCACCTTCCAACGCTATCTCGGCTTGTTTCCACTCTTGTAAAGCATGGTCGTGGCGTTCTTGAGCTGCTTGTAAAGCCTGTTTGCTCTTGCCTGATCTCTCCATACTGCTTATAGTACTCATCGCTTCCTTGAGCTGCGCGATCATCCGTTGGTTCTCTTCATACAGTTTTTTGTTGAGCTGCGTTGTCTCTAGTCGATCCTGCGCTTTATCTTTGGCAGTTGACGCTCGCACAATTGCCAGCTTTCTCTGATACTCATTGATGAGCGCATTCTTCTCTTCAACGAGCTGCTTCAAGCTCGCAATTGTTACTTGAGCAGCCTGCTGTAGCTCCGCCTGATCCTTCTCGTACAGACCCACCTTCTGCCGCATCAAAGGGGAGTGACTAGAGTCGTCCCGCTGGTTATCGTGGTGTCGTCTCTCCCCACCTGCGATCCCTGTACGTGCATACTGCAAGTCCAGCTCTAGATCCTCGTACTTGCATCTTAGTTCACGCTTCTCCGCTTCCAGGCCTCCATTTAACCGCAGCAGCTCCGAGACGCGAGCTTGGATCGCCTCCAGCTGACGCATGAGGTCTTCATTCAGTGCCTTGGTCTCGCTAAGCTCAGCTTGCAGCCGGATTTCCCTCTCCTTCGACCCCGTTGCCTTCGTGGCAGCCTCAAGCTGTCCCATGAGCAAACGTTCTCGTGTTTCCAACACATCCACTCGACTCTTTAACCGACCTACCTCACTTTGATTACCTCGTTGTTTGAGGTCCAGCAGCGGTAGTTGCGCTTGTTTGTCCTCCAGGTCTTTCTCAAGTTGTTTGCGACGTTGCTGCTCGACTTGTATTTCATCTTCCAGAGCATCCAATCGCTTCCGGAAAGCCTCCCATTTGGTATTCCGAGCTGTCCAGTCCCGCTCTTTGACTTGCGCTATCGCATTCTCCAGAATTTGCACTCGATCGCTTGACTTCTCTCGAATCGCAGACAGTTCCTGGGCTTTTTTCTCCATCTCCAGCTCAAGTCGTTGGTTTTTCAGCAGTGTCTGCTGCTGCGTTTCTGTGACCAGGTCGTATTGTACCAGGAACTGCTGATACGTCGCCCTAATCTGCATCAACTGATGCTGGAGCTCGCCGACAATCGCGTGGTCTTCCGACGCAGCCATCAGTTCACGCAGCTGTTCTTCTTGTTGTTCACGATTGCCCTGCTCCTGAGCTGCTCGTTTCGTCAGTGTGTTCGCTTGAGACGCGGCAAGCGAAGCGATGTCCTTGTACTTGGCGCACTCAAGCGCGAGACTTTCATAAAGTTGCTCCACCTCGTTAATCCTCTCGTACAGTAGTTTATTCTCATCTCGAAGCTCATTATCGTCTCCCTCGAGCGGAGAAGAGTGCACTAACTCGTCGTCGAGAATATTTTTCCACTTAGCGTCTTCGAGCTCTTTCACACGCTCCATTTGCGCTTGTAACTCGCCTTCTAGTTGAGCTATCCGATCATGAAGAACTCCAGGGTCACACCCTACGGCTCCTGTACTCTTCTTAGCGCTCTTTTCTGCCTGCAGTACCATCAGACTGTGCTGTGCGCGGCTCAGTTGAGCTGGCAGGTCGTACATATCTAAGTACGTGCCATGCATCTTCGCGTACGATTCGCTTAACACATTGTACTTCTTGAGAACATCAGCCATCACGCGTTGCTGCTTGTCAGCAAACTCGCGCAGCACGCTCTTCTCCAGAGTCTTCTCCATGCGTTCAATCATCTCGTCAGCGCCCTGTTTCCACGTTTCAAGGTACAAAACTCGATACTTGAGCGTCCTCTCCATTTCGCTCCACTCACGTTGGAGCAGTTTGTTATGCTCTGTGGTACCAAGCCATTCGTTATGCAGTTGGTGGTATTTCCGTTTGAGTCGCGCTTCATTCACTTCAAACGCAGCAACTTTTCGAGTTAGCTCAATCACTTCGGAGCGCAACTGCGCTTCATTCCCACTGATAAGTGAGTCGCTGGTCATTGCGGGGATCTGCTGGTTTTGCACGCCGAGTAAATGCAACCCAGCTTCATACCGCTCACACTTGAGCTTGTAGTCTTTGTTTTCTTCTGCTATCTGGTCCAGCTCACCGCGAAGGCGAATCTCAGCGTTCGTGTATTGCGCGTGCATCTGGAAAAAATGCTGGTACAAGACTGTGTGCTGATCCATCAGAGACTGGAACACCTCTTCATGTTGATGTAATTGCTCTTGGAGCTCCTCGTTACGTGCCTCCGTTGTCACTAACTCATCCAGACACACGTTCAGTTCCCGTAAGAAATCAACTTGCTGCATCATTTCGTCCTCGCTTTCAAACGCCATATTGTCGACAGTCTTTCGAGCCCCAGGTGATCGCGGAGATACTACAGAGACGGACAAAGTATCTGTCTTCGGAACATGCGTTTGAACGGACGACTTCTTGGGAGAAGCAGGCTTGACCTTTGCTTCGATATTGGGCAGAGTAGCAGATGCCTTGGATGAAAACCCCGAGCCGGTTTGAGCTTGAAGAATTGCAAATTGGGCTTCAATTGCCTTGGCTACGACCAAGGCAATATTATCAGCATGATCGCTCCGGTCTTCTCCAGGTTTTGATTCTAGATGCGTGCTGGAGTGGGTTTGTTCTGCTGGTAGCTGCTTACTTGCTGCATCGGTGTGTTTCGGAGCAGCTTCCTTGCTTCCCACAACGTGACTGCACGTTTCCTCTTCAGCTGGCAGTGACACGTCATTATCGTCCTCAGGTTTAATTTGAACAGACGTCTTTGACTTCTTTTCATCTGCGCAGGGAGACGTTTGTGTTCCTGCGTATGCTTGGCTGTGAGGCTCGCTTGCAAGTCTATGACGTGACGCATCCTGTAGGCAATCCACGTTCTCAGACGCACTGGGAGGCGATACATCCTTCTTGCCATCCTTCTGCTCACGCTCCTTGCGCAGGGACGCAATTTCTGCACGTAAATGGTAAATTACACCTTCTTGTCGTTGCGACTTCGTCTTTGCGGCATCGAGGGCACGTATAAGTTCACCCCTACCATCATCTGGACCAGTGGTTGGTTGTGGCTCTGCTAATACTGGCGGGTGAGACTGCGCTTCTTCCAACTCACTTTGAAGTCGCTCAATATCCTTCAACAAAAGTGCGTTTTCCTCACACCTGACGTCAAGCTTCCTCTCCAGTTCATCGATAGTATCCTGTTGCTCCTGCGCGAGCCGTGCTAACTGGTCTCCATCACGTGTTCCCACCAGTTCGCAATTAGTCTCAAGAAGCCGCTTAGCAACCTCCGGCGTCTGCTTGACGCGATCAATAAACTCTTCTACCGCGCTCCACTGTTCCGTTGTCAAGCCATGCTGTTCATACAGTTTATAACCGGTTAGCCGCGCTTGATCTCTCAGTTTTTTTAGGAATCGTAGTCGTTCAGCCTCAAGCTCTTGGATTTGGACCTCCATCTGCTTCATCACAGCACCATTGATCGCCAATTGACCCTTTAAATGGTCAGCAATAGCAACATCATCGTACTCGAAGCTGTCGGGTTTGCCTACTTCTGTCTTCAACCGCTCAAACGCCACATGGAGCTTCCCCGCTGCCTCCACCTGATCATTGAGGTCTTGGCGTAACTTGACATTCATCTTCTGCTGCTGCTCTAGCTGCGCGCGCAGCTTCTTCTGATACTTCACCACATCCTCCAGTCCAGCTTGCTGTTCGTACTTGGCATTCCACTCCTCCGCTTCCACCAGCTGCTTCTCTACGATACCTTGCCGCAGCTCAAGATCCTGTGTCAGCTCACGCTGCTCCTTCAAACGCCTCTTCAGCGTTGCATTCTCGTGTTCAAGACTGTCAAACTTGGCTTTCTGCCTTTGTGCCGCAGTCTCAACTGCACTTTCAACGACAGCATCAACGTTTAAGTGCTCAGCTAGGCTCTCCAGATCGCTCTGCTGTTGCAAAATGCGCTGATTCAGCTCTGAAATGGTGCTTTTATCTCGGACACGCAGCTCTTGCAGCATTTCAAGCTGCCTTTCGAGGTCTTCCATGCCAGCACCTGCACTACCACGAACCATGTCTTCCTCCTCTTCGTCTTTCAACAGCTTTTTGCTTTCCTGAACCTGTTGTTGCTGCTGTTCATTTAACATTCGCTGCTGCTTCAACTTCCGCTTGAGCTCATCCAGCTCTGCAATGAGCACGGCCTTCTCCATCTCGAACTTGGCCTTCACGTCGCTCATCAGAGCGTCTACATCGCTCTCTCGCTCGTCCATCTCGATGAGTTTGGCTTCCACACTCAATTTCTCGTGCTCTAATTCTTCCACTTTTGTATGCAGCTGCGTAATCTCCAACGTTTGCTCATCCACCGCGTCGCGGTAGGCCTCAAGTTGGTCCTGCATGGCAATGATCGACACTTGATACTCCTTTATCTGTATCGTCATATTCTTCACTGCTTCTTGCAGTTCCACTGCCTCATCTCGCAGTATTTCGTTCTCCTTTAGCGCTGTATAGAGCTCACTGCGTTCATCCTTGCTCTCCTCGGCCACTTGGGCCACTTGTCGCTGCGCCTTTAAGCCAGCAGTGGCTTCTCTCTCCAGTTGTGCTTGTAATTCCTTTAATTTAATCTCTAACGCCTCGTTTTGCGTCTTTAAAGCCTCAAAATCTTGCTCTACAGGCTTGGTAGCAGGCTTATCAGGCGCACTTGCTGTAGTTTTCTCGCTGTGCAGCTCGAGCTGCTGTTGTAGCTGCGTCGTAAGCCCAGCCACGGTCTCGCTCAAGTGGGCGATCGCATTTTCCTTTTCCACCAGCTTCTGCTGTGTCTGCAGCTCGCGCGAGCTGGCATCGGACTGTAGTGTCGCCAGCTGGTCATGGAGCTGCTCATTCTCGCCCTCGATCTCCAGCAGGTCGCCGCGCAGCAGCTCCAGCTCCTCACGCAGCGATGTACAGTCTGCTCTGGTGCATCTGGAGCCTGTAGAAGCGCCCTGTACGTCGCCTGGGGACGCCATGGACGCTGCCTAGAGTACGGACAGCCGCATCCGATCAATGCGGAAACGGCGCAAAGCCGCAGGAGTGATGGTCTTCGATTTCACCTGTGAAATTCGATCATTTGTGAATTTTGTATCGAAAAACAATCGATTTTTACGGGATTTTGGACGGCTTTGGGGAGCCGCAGGTTCTGCCACTCATTCGTTGGGGTTATCTACTGGTAAGGTGCATGCGGTGCTGCCTGGATGGCTATTGCTGCGGCTAATAGAACTCTATGGATGTTTCTGAATATGTGATAGTATCGTCGAGTGAGTTAGGATGCTGCAGCGCTTCGCCGTGCGATCTGGTGCTGGCTCGGTGGCTCGTCAGCAGGGCCGCAACGTCGCTGCTAAGCTGCAGGTGGCGTGCTTCTCGTCGGAGGACGATTGGCGTATTTCGGACGATGATTTTGACGAGGGCGCCGATAAGATCATTGACAAGGACCGTCGGGACTCGATGCCGCGCCGCCAGATCATGCCTGAGGCCGCTAAGAAGAGCCGCTTCATGGTCGTGTCCCCCGAGAACCGCGGCAAGGTACGTCGCCGCCTCTTGGACGAGTTCAAGAAGGACGGCATCACTCTCGCCGATCCGGACCAGCCTGGCCAGTACCTCACGCCCGACGCTGGCATTCTTCGCGATATGCGCGCCATGAACAAGGAAGGCGAAGAAATGGAGTTCGCCGATGACGACGAGGAGGGCGAGATCAACCTCGGCCGGATGGGCCTGCTACGCCAGATCGTACACGTCGACCAGGTGCAGAAGGTCACGACGCAGGAGCGTATCGTCAACTTCCGCGCGCTCGTTGTCGTGGGCAACATGCGCGGCGTTGCCGGCTACGCCGTGGGCAAGGGCTCGTCGCCGCCTATCGCTATTGAGCGTGGCACTAAGCTCGCCATGAAGCGCTTCACGTACATCGATCGCTTCGACGACCGCACGCTGTACCACGAGGTGCGTGGCAAGTGGAACAGCTGTACGTTGTTCCTGCGTCCGGCACCCAAGGACAAGGGACTCACGGTGAGTGACACTGTGGCTTGTGTGCTCGACTGCTTCGGCATCACGGACATCGTGTCCAAGACCCACGGCCAGCGCAACCCTTTCACTGTCGTCAAGGCTACGTTTGACGCTCTCTCCAAGCACGAGACAGCCGAGGAGATGGCTCTCCGAACGGGCCACTCGCTCGTGGAGCTCAGCACTCTGGCGCGTATGCGTAACCTGTAGACGAGTAGAGGCTGGGATTTAAGCGAAGGAAAGGGTGTTCATTACCCCCATTGCATAGAGACAGACTTTTACGATGCCAAGCGTGCGGTGGGCGGAATATCTGTATTTGATGAGAAATGAGCATGGGCCCGCTGTCCTAATTGAAGCTTGTGTGCTGCTGAGAGCATGTCAGCGGCACTACATCTATAATGCTGTGTACACTAACTCACGTGCTGCCAGCGGCTGCCTTCTCGTAATATCGATCGCTGGCTTTTACAGCGTCCACCAGCCAATTCATCGCGCCTTCGATGCCCTCGCTGCATCGATAGTAACCACGTCAAAGACAGTAAAAGTCTAAAGCGGCTTGATACAGCTGAACTGACCTTGTCAATGCACAGATGGGGTAGCTTGCAACCGCGCCTTGATGTCCTTCCAAGTCCAACATGCCAGAAATGTGGTTCACAGTTCGTGCGTTATCCAAGTCCATCTTGTTGGCAAGCACTAGCAACGGCACCCCCGACAGCTCCGAATTCGACAGCATTGCGTCTGCAACGCCACACATCACAGCACTTGTCAGTATTGTATCTCCACTTCACATCACTGCGGTCACGTACGCAATGTCTCCTTGGCTTCCCGAAACCGTCCCTCATTGGCCGAGTCGATCACGAATACGATGCCATGACTCTCGCTGTAATATTTGTTCCAGATCGCACGAAGTCGCTCCTGCCAGCACCAAATTAAGACATTTAGAGTCCTCTTAAACCCAGTGTCAATAGCTTGCTGTCCTCTAGCAACCGCACCTGTCCTCCAAGGTCCCAGAAAATGACCCTCGACCGTCGGATATCAACTCTAGCGACTGCATGGGAAACATCATGTCAAGCGTTTTCCTCCTCCACAACTTTCCATTCAAGCGACGTACTGTTAAGACCCACTGTGGGCGGGATCTTGTCCAGCGGAATGCCTGGCTTCTTGCCGAAAATGCCTTTAAGCTGTTCCAATAGCGTCTGCCGACATGAAAGTATCAGTTTGTATCCTCACAGCTACGCTATCACCAGCCCACCGCACTTACCTACCGTTTTGCCTGCATCGTCGAGTCCTACGATGAGCAGGTGCAGCTCCGCTTTGCTGAATAAATAGTTCCACAGCCCCCAGAACAGCGAGAACATGGCGCCGTCAAGAGGAATCAAGATAATGCCATTTTCGGATGCGGGTCTATGCGCAACTTAAACCTTTCAAGAGCAACGTAAAGTCAAAAGCATAAGTTGCTTAGCAATCGTTGGCTTTTGATCAGCAAGTCATTTGTTCTCATACCGCCAAACTCTCAGAGCTCAGATACACTAAGCGAGGGCCATGCAGATCCAGATCAAGGTGCGCCGTTCTTATAACCTGCGAGCAGCGAGAACATTCACTGTACTAACCGACACACTTGTCTGTGCGATGCGCTGCAGACGCTCACGGGCCGAAAGCAGACGTTCAACTTTGAGCCGGACAACACGGTACGGCAGAGTCGGCTACAAAGGTGATATCCTCGTTAATACTGACGATATAACGCGCTTGTGATAGATCCTGCACGTGAAGCAGGCGCTGCAGGAGAAAGAGGGCATCCAGGTGGACCAGATCCGTCTCATTTACAGCGGCAAGCAGCTGTACGTCCACCTACAAGTGTTGAGAAGGAGGTAATACTTGCTGACTATAATGCCTGTTTGCTGTGGAGCAGAGCGGATGACAAGACGCTGCAGGACTACAACGTGGCTGCAGGTGGCACCATTCACATGGTGCTGCAGTTGCGTGGCGGTTGCTAGACAAGAAGATGGAAGGCCAAGACAGTTAGAGTAACACGTCACAGCGGTCTCAATCTCCAGCAATAAGCGGCTCTATCAAGTTGCAGCTAAAACACGCCAACAAACGTGGATTTCGTGTCTCGTTACTGTTTTTTTGTCCGCTTTCTACTGCGCATTCGTGGTATTGGCAGCCGTGGCATTACGAGCGTCGAGCTGCTGTTTGATCAGCGGCTCCAATTGTTTCTTTTCAGCAAGTGTCTTCAGCAGCTGGATGATGAACGGGATGTAGTTGTGCTTGCGTCGCTTGTTCTCCAGCGCCCAGTTCTCGCGCTTCTGCTGCTCTGCAGCCAGGTCCGCTTGGATCTGCGCCGCCTGCTGCTCGCTTCCTCCAGCCTCGATGATCGCTTGAAGCTGCTCTTCGTACGTCTGTATCCGGTTCTTCACCAGCGCTAGCAGATTAAAGCGGATCTCCGTGGCCGAGTACTTCTCGATCCTCTTCTGGATCACAGGACACGCCACCTGCAGCCACGAGTCGCGGTTCTCAGCATCTGGCACGTCTCCAAGACAGATCGGTCCTTCTCTTAGTCCGTCTAGCTCGTAGACCTTGCCGTTCACAGGCACGTAGGCCACAAAGTGGTACACATCGTCGTCCTCCGTCGCTTTTCTCTCTTCCACGACGAAAGGCTCCGCTCGAGCGAAGGAATTGTGAGCCAGACGAATCTTGTCGCTATTAGAGATAGCTAAGCCTTTCAAATCTGATGGAAAATCGCTCGTGAAGGCCTTGAATTCCGACAGCGTCTCGCCTAATTCCACGTCTTGTGCGTTCAGTAGGATGGATAGGATGGCTTGTGTGGCACAGGCGTTGCTGATCACTTGCTTGGCGAAGAAGATTCCGTCGTCCTCGGTGGCAAAGACTGGAGGCTCAGCGTCCTCTCCGTGGTTGGATTCGTACTTGAAGAGGAACACGAGGCCGTAAACTGGCGACAGGTCGGCGAACTGCTGCTCGTCCAGAGTGTAGAGCTCCTCCACCTGCACGCCTTTGACGCCAATGTCCTCGATAAGGGCAGTAAATACACCTGTAACGGGAGGGTTAGGATGGAGATTGGTGGGAGGAGACGGTGGAGAATAACGTACCGGGGTCGGACTCAATGGTGCACCACGACATGATGAAGATGTTTTTGCTCAAAAAGATTCAAGGATAAATGTCATTAATCGATTTAGTGACATCTTCAATCTCGCAAAAAATAATAGAGTACACCAAAAAGCGTAAAAAAAGTTAGAGCTTACACTTCATCTCGGACAACAGTGTCAACGTGGTTCAATCACTGCCTCTTCAATCATTCATTTTGTCGTTTCAGAATCGGCGACTGTGCTGCGGAAATGTCATGACGCACGTAGACCACTACCTTTAGAAAGGACCAGCTTGCCGCGGAGCCGAACCCACAACGCCGTTGTGGTCACAACTGGATTTGTCTCCAATACCGCAAGTCGAGTACCAACCTATCGGTCAAGCCAACGTCACACCAGCGAAACCATGAAGTTCTTCACGTTCCTCGTCGCCACGATGACCGTTCTCGGCGCTGTCGCTGGTGCTGACCATCCTACCGTCAAAACGCCAACTGAAGCTCTTGAACAAGTGCAAGCGTCCGCATTACCCGATGGTGTCACGCTCACGGGTGAAACGGAGAAGATCGACCCTCCTGCTAATGCCGCGGCGATTATCAAGAAGGAAGCCCACGACGACAAGGACGACAACGACAAGGACGACAACGACAAGAACGACGATAAGGAACACTTGGGATGGGGACTCGGTGGAGGTTTCGGCGGTTGGGGACTCGGTGGCTGGGGCGGCTGGGGAGGTTGGGGTGGCTTTGGACCCTACCGCTTCGGATTCATGTGCGGTGGCGTCCCTGGCTGGGCCTATCCGCTGGGCTACTGGAACATGTTTGGTGCGGGTCTGTACGGCGGCGGGTGTGGTCTTGGCATTCCTTCCGGCGGTCTCTACTACTGCTAAGTTCGCGATCTTTTGAGCAGTTAAAGGCTGTGATTAAGCTTAGCTACTCACCTTCTCTACAAGAAACAGTAGTGCCCTCAGGCTGCCTCAACATAATACCTAACTTTGGTTTTTAAGCAACTTTTGAATGGAATCCAAACACACCAGAGTTTCAACACACTAAGTATAAAAACTGTGTAGATGCCATTGGTAGGGCCGTACCGCGCGTGTGTACGGTATTCGATGTCCTTGCATAGATCGCTGGAATGATAGTGATGAGCAGCAAAGTAAAGTCGAGCAGTGGCGCGGAGAAACTGATCCTGAATAATTGTGTTCGTGCGTCTCGAAAACCTTGTTCACAATTACAGACTAATTTCACTTCTACTGTAGCTGCAAAACCTACGACTAGGTACTTTCTATAATCCGACGATGAGATATTCTGAATATGAAGGACTCGAGAGTATTTTAGTCATCCTGCCTAGACCCTTGTCTGCGCATCAATCCAATCGACTCGAGATGTTTTTAGCAATTCGTCGTTCAGTGTTCGAGCTCACTAGACTTGACCCAGGACTTGAATTCATCTGTGATCTTAATGTACTTACCGTATTTGAGATCTCTTACTACATATCGTGCTTTGACCAATCCGCATTCAAGTATGCTACAGCTCATCACTTGAGATCTCTTAAGGCGTAGCGTATAAATCAGGCGAATGCTGCAGCGGAGGGCCATTCATTACAAGAAAAGCGCCAGGCAAGAGATTATAATGTGGACGAAAGCGGCGTGGAATTCACTGTCGGCTTCTATAGTTGCCAGTGGTTTCTGCAAGGCCAAAATCATAATAAACAAAAAGCTGCTTTAAGAGAGGTAAATGACGCAGAGCAGAGACTATCCGACACTGAACCAGATTGGGTGCTGTTCAACCGACTTCTCGAGGAAGTTCCTGTTGTTCGGCATGTAGTGGACGCAAGTCGAGACATTGATACGTTAGCGGTTGAAGAGCAAGATGTTGGTAGTTGAATAGAATAATAACATGATCTTAACCTTTTGGGTTGGTATCTCGAGGTGCATAGAGTCGTCGGTACATGTACATCTCGTGTTCGATTTACAACAGTTCAACTTCAAGAATATGGGGTATAAAGTATGAGATCTCAAATACGGTACTGTGTTGCAGGAGCGGTACAGGGATGGTGAGATTGCAGGTCTGACATTGCTATAGTATTTTTTGGCAATATGACTTTAGCGACTCCCTCACAAAATGACGCTTCATCTACAATATTGACTTGACTGGGTTCTTATATTATACTAGGACGGGGAGTGCTGCCCTCGATCAGAACATTGGTGGTGACTTAGCTCGTTTAATTGCATCGCATCGCTTAGGTTTTGTCGTGATGTTTACGATAGAGGCTTGGTAAATGAATACGTGCCCATATCTACGTCAGTTTTACATCTGAGAGTCTTTTTTCTCTGTTTCATAATGTTGATAATTATTTGTGTCTCTATTGCGTGATGTTTACGATTGGGGCTAAGACAAATGATTACTGCCCCATATCTCCCTGTGAATTGGTGCGAATAGCATCTGAGACCTTTTAACGAACCGTTTATACAGACGCAGAAATCCGGCCGACACAAAGTCCGGCAGATATAGTTGTGCAATTCACAATCATTTTTGTTCAGCCAATCACATTCGTGTATTTGACTTGGTCTTTGTATTTCATATGCTTATGGGTATTTTCTCTGTCGTTTCGTGTTTTATAATCATTTTAGTGAATTTGATGTGGATAGATCTTGTGATACGGGTCGTAAGTTTTCCATGGAGGATGGCATTCAGTGGTACCGGATTTATGCGTCGTTGTCTGTAACTATTTGTGTCTCAGTGTACATAATACCAACGCTGTTTTTTTTTCTTCTTAATCAGTACATGGAGAGCAATAAATATATCCAGTACTCCGCTATCTGAGAGAGGGTTTAGTTCTTCAGGCGACGAGTTTGGCAGGAAATTGCACACAGTGCCGCTCACTGAAACATGTGTTTGTATGTTTTAACTTAGAAGTACTTTATTTGCTGATGTGCAGCACATCATGTGCTGTACGTGTGGTATAATTTAGTATCGACGAAAAACGGTTTTTGTACAAAGGGTTTGTAAAAGAAAATGTAACCTTATATACAGTATCAATCCTTCTTGAGATCAAAGAACCGTCTATCACGCAGATACAATATGACCACAATCTATTTGCGCCCATTGAACCAACTGGTTTGCCTCTATATTTCGGATCCGGTCATTTCACAGCAATGTGTTTGGTTTCGTTGAGATAACTATTTTCTTATTTCGAAAAACAAAAACAGCAAAAAACAAAAGCTATAGAACCATATATACGCCCAAGGCCTAGTTCATAAGAGCATTGGTTAATGCGCTGACAGCTTCCCTCTTCAACGATGCAGTAATGTGAGGAGCTACATGCCCTACGATTAGTGGTGTACCAGTAAGGTCCTGAATTATAACTGTTAATAACGTCCCTTTTGAGATGAGTGGTCCAGTGTTTCAAATTACTTGGAAGAGCACCATACATACAGATGGCATGCGGGAATGAAGGCACGCAAGATGGGAACGTCCTTCCCTCAGGGAAGTCCCCTGGTCGTGCTGCCAGCAAGTCATTGGTTCCGTAGTATTGAAAGTCATTTCTCTTCTCTCTGGCAGCGAGACGCTTACTACTTAGCACCTCCAAGTCGTCCTGCTACCGTCGGACGAGCGAAACGAGTTCACCAATCTACCCTTTATCAAGTTGCGAGGATCATGCGACTCAGTTTCTTATTTCTGGTGATTGTCGCCATTCTTTTCGTGAACAGCGAGGCGCGTTCACTCCGTCAAGGCTCGTCGAAGCGTTTCGCATCAAACAATGATGCTGAGTCCGAAGAAAGAGTGATACGTGTCCGCAATCCATTAAACGAAGCGGTTACTACAGCTGAAAGCGTGGCTCTCAAGGCGTCAAAGTGGGATAAGTTCCGCAACAAGCTGGCCAAATTCCTTCTTCCAGACACGAGCGACTATAAAATAGTGTACAACAACGGCCGATGGAGATCCGAGAAGACCTTTTAAAGCGCGGAGCCGTTAGTACAGCGGCCTACAAGATCATTTCCTGATTGGTTTTCTACCTACCGGGTTAAGTGGTAGACGACTCCAGTGAGAGGTCGTGTTCTTCATCTACAGTCTCTGACACAGTTTATTCACCTTTCAAGTCGATACCCCACCACAGTTGTCTGACGTCAATACGCAGTGAAGGTAGGAGGGTTAACTACACACTGCAACTTTACTCAGTATTTCAAAATACTATTGTAGGAGATTGGAGTATTTCAGTGTAAACTACAGTGTTTTCTTCAGTAAATACCGCTACAAGTTCATGTTTTCCAGGCTACATTGTAGGTTTACATGAGGGTCAAAAAGTTTCGATTCACTTTCCTGTACGAAAGAGTAAGGCTATCTACGAAATCTGGGTTAGCTAACCATCAATTGTTTCCTACTACCAACCGATGTGTGCACCGTTCAGCCTATACGTTTTTTGAATTTGCTGTCCCGAATTGAATTCAAAGGCCCTATAATTGAATTAAGTTATTATACTCCATGCTGTAATTGTTACGGTTATTGGAATTGACCAAGCAGATACAGCCCGTAGAACAACTTTTTGTCAAGCGTAGCAAGTTACATGCTAAGGCGCTTGATGTGGTGCATATTCATGAAATTGGTTGGATTCAAACGAAATATTTCAAATCGGGAAATATGTGGAAATATCTGACGATCCGTCAGACTTTCCAATATCTCTACTGTCTTCAACAGCTGATTTTTTTAAAGCAAGACAGCGTAGAAGGGGTAGGCACGTGGTTTGATGTCGATTTGTACCAAATGTTCCCACTTTGATTTTAACCGTATTTGACTGGTTTTTTCTATTATAAAGTTAAACTGTACCAGTATTATGAAGAACCTCTATTGAAATCAAGTCGACCGGTTCGGTGGAAGCAAAATCCTATCAATTACGCTGGGATATCACGATATAAAAGCTCATCTTAGACAGGCTCCATTGGATTATTTAAAAAGAGAACGATTTTGCACAGGCGATGCACGTTCACTAATGAATGTGACTTCGAATTTTGAAGTACCCATAGATTATGGTATTAGCGTGCAACACCGAACAGTTGATTACCCTTTTTGCGCGGTTTATTATGTTGGTAATCATGGCCCGATGGAAGAGCATGATTAAACGCCATTATTGCCTTACTGTCATTTTCTTATCACACCAACCAGTGAAACAAGTCCAAGCCTACAAGCCAACGCCGAGGAAAAAAGCTCATGCACCTTAGTTTCTTGATCTTAGCTTTTTCTGCTATCTGTTGTCTTCTCGCAAATAGTGAGGCCCGCGGACTTCGTCAAGGATTCTTCACTAAAACTAAGGGTTTAACCTCAGACAAAGACTCAGATTCAGAGCAGAGACTGTTTCTCGTCCGGGATATACTCGATGAATCAGTCCCTAAAGTTGAAAGCGCTATCAAGACGTCAAAGCTGGATAAGTTTCGAAACAAGTTGGCCAAGATCCTCTTCCCTGACACGAAGGGTCTCACGTTAGTTTACAAAAATGGATGGAGAGTCAAGAAGGAATATTGAGCTGTTAATACAGAGTCTTGTTAAATAGCCCCACATTAAATAGCTCCTAGCGTATGGAATCGAAAGTAATAAATAACAGCAAGCCCTGGTGCTGGAAATGATGAGAAAATTAAAACAAGACTGTTGACCCTTTCATTGTAAATCTTTCCGCCTGGCCTCCAGCTAATTCACGCCGACCCAAAATATGAGCACGCTGGCTCAGCGTGTGCACAGTCGCAATCCCAAGAAGTAGGCCCGGTATACACAGTAGTAATTCCCCTCAGACCTTCCCAAGTTGCAACTAGCAAATTTTAAGAACGTATCTTTTCTTTTAAACTTCTGCGTGTAAATCGATTCTAGCAGTTTAAGCTCTTCAGTAGGGCCAACAATCCTGCCTAGAGCATTAGACTCAGCAAAGTCGTTCTCTGGATTAAGAATCCTTTACAACACGGTAGGGACCCATACTAGTTTCCTCGTATCCATCGTACAAAAATGCCCGCGAAATTTCATCAATCTGCTATATCAGTGCAACTTCTCTGAAACGATGCTCGAATGGATGGTATTGCGTATAAAATTGTATGAAAGTACACGCCCTCAATTGATTCTATCATACTCTATGTAGATCCGAGTCAGCTGGCCTCCTGTACCATATAGCTGGAAGGCATAACCCCCTCACACACACACACATGGTTGTTGCTTGTTGTAGACCATGGGTAACATTACAGCCCATTCACCCATAAATGCTTCGCGAAGAAACTGGGTTAAGCTGTCTCGGATAAACAGCCTTCTAATTAAACCGTTTAATCCATGAGGCAATACTCCAATGCAAGTACAGTCTTGTACAGCCTTGGGATAAATTCGAGAGCTTCTCTGTCCAAGTACGGCAATATTTCTGAAAACACAAATCAGACAGAAATTTGTGAACACTCCGACGATGAATATTTCTGACTCTCTATTGATAGTGTATAACACAATTGGCGATATTAAAACGTTGAAAGCACTGTCTTGTTTGCTGCGCGTCCACATAACCTAGGCTTGTGGCTTCTGGCGGTGTTTAGGGTGCTGGCAATGATATTGATGAATATGTTAGATTATTGGACAATGCTTGAATTGTTACGATACATTGACTTGTAATCAAGTACTTCAAATACTTATTTTTTATATCGGCCAAAAGGTCTAGGTGAGTCATCTAAACCACTCAATCGGACGTATAAAGCCCCTTACAATATGTTTGTTCATTTAATTGTCAAGTGCAGGTGTATCACTTTCTTATTTCTCTATACCGTCACGATGGTTTGGAGGATCTACAGCCTCGCCACGCATTGCGTGCCAAGGCAACTGCTGTCGCAGCAGTCTACAAGTTGTTGAAGAGTGAGGAAGCTGAAGAGGAGTACGTAAGAAAATGTGTAGATGCAGGTGAAAGTAGCAAGTGCTTTGTATGTTTCATGGATAAGTTTAGAATGTATCGTGCGTTTAGTAAGGGAAGAAGAGCAAATTGCAAGCGGAAACACTGCATTCAGTACTATCACTGAGTAAAAAATTGGCTCTTAGAGCATTTTCTCAGCACCGAATGTCGCTATAATCACGACTGCTTAAATTGAAGGAAACCTCTAGATAGCTTTTGTTTGAAAAGAGATGATAGTGGCTTCGTAACACAAAAATCGCCTAGTACGATGGCTGACTTGAAAATATCGCTGGTATGTTTGGCTACTAGTGCATGCTCAGAAATTGGCTACAAAGACACTACTCTCGTGTGTCTTCTCCGGTACCTAATCGGGAGAACTTGTGACCTGCCGATAATTAAGAAGCGGGCATCTTCATAGATACCGCTGATACTTCGTTCTCCTGTTGGTCCATGCCAAGATATAGGAACAGCAAGGCCTGTCATCGACGACTTTACTCCATGTCCCATGCTTGCTGTTGCGCTTGATCTCACAGCCCGAGCGACACCGTCTTTAGCTCACATTAACAGCCTGACCGACCAAGTCCAGCACACACTACTCACCCTCTCTCCGGACGTTCGACTCGTGGAGCTTCTCAACGCACCACCGTCGACCTCCCGTATTGACCTGGTTGAACCCCACAGCTGCAGCCCTCTTTTAGCTCTGTCTAGCTTTGACCGCGACACTCTTGACTCGTTTGCCCGGTTCCAACGTATAGAGTTTGCAGCTTGCTATCGGCTTGAGCAAAATACCTTCAACATCGACCGGAAGGTTCTGGCGTTCTTACCACCTGCGTTGTTCGACACTATCTCGCGTTGAATGGCTTGAATCCTAAAAGCTCCGCGCCGAAGCCACTCGAAATGTAACGGGGTTACACGCAAGTGGCTACATGTAGCCACTTGATTACGACAATGGGTTTCACATTGGTGTGAGATACACCAATGATTACATTTGACAGACCACTGGTCTG